ACACAATTTTCAAGTGACTGTAAACAATACAAATCGCGCTCAAATAACAAAACATTCTGAAGAAGGTTATGGTCAAAAATGTCAAAGTTCTAGTGGAAACGTCAAATGGCACCTGATAACACTCAGTGTTGCCAAGGCTCAAAATATAAGTAGTGCCCCTCGTAATGTACAGAGTAGTCCATATAAATATTATGAGAACCAGTCTACGTAATATACGTTGCATAAAAAATATTATGAGGACCGTCCTCACAATGACGTTTGGTCTACATAATATACAATGAAAATGTCCTCACAATATACGGTTCACATACATATGTATATATAAGATCTCCTGTGTATATATATATATATATATATATAGTCACGCCTTTTCCTGGCGTTGATTAGGAGTGCGCGCGGGAGCGCACTCGGGAAACGGCGGATCAATCGGAACGGAGGGAAGGTGACGACCTTCGTACGGGAGAGTGTGCCTCACGCGGTCAAGCGAGAATCGGGAGCCGCGACAAAGTTGGGTGCCAGACGTACTTCAAAGCGACGTCGATTTCACGAACGGGAACGCGAACCACGCGGAAACCGCGAAACTCCGTGAGCACCAAGTACTACAAAAACCGAGAGTAGCCTCTCGTTCGCGTGAGGGCTAGCTAGCTCTACCTAACGGCAGAAGGGAGGGTATTGGCAAGGGCCGATTTGCAGGAGGATGAACGGGATCTTCGAGGGTAGGGCGTTAACACAATCGTCACCACTAAGTAAATGATAAGCGTGTTTACTATGCCGAAGCGAAAGACAGTACAGTAATAGAAAACGTTGAAATATATTTCAACGAAAGACACGTATATTAAATACATTTCTAAGGAAAGCATTAACCGACAGAAGAAGAAAGAAAAATTAATGAAGTAGCGCAACGATGGTGATAGAATCGCTTAAGACATGCACTCGAGGAGGCGATAGTTACAAAGAGAGCGACATCGTGGCGAACAAAATGAACCGGCAAATTCAGCGTCGGGACTTGTGGGCCTTCATGCACGCCCATTCGTGCCGCGGTGCTCGACGGAAATTCTCTAAGCGCCAGGCCTCCTTGTAGCCGGCAAACGCACACGCCGGAGAAGGCGCGCGATCTCGCAATCGGAACCTCGTGTAGACGCAAAGACACTACGTTCCAATCGCAGGTTCGCACACGCAAACGCGACACGCTAGTCTACCAAACCGAGAGCAAACACACATCAACGGTAACCATTCTAACATACGCTCGCGCGTCCAAGCACGCACACCCACACCGATATTATGCTCGCGAAAAGTACTCACGACGCGCCGATCCCACACGCGCAATCTCTAACGCGATAGCTCTTCCAACTCGTCAAGGCCGCGATCTCCAGGAGGCTCGTTCCCTTGACTCGACTTTATCCCCGATAGCCGCGTGCCCGCAGGCCCGAGAGCCCCTCACGCCTGGCACCGGCCACGCCGTACTCGAAACATCAAAAAGGCGCAGCTTATGGCGGCCACCGCACCAACGCTAAACGCGCGTGCCGACTACAGACCATGAGAGCGACTCGCCGCCCCGATGCATGCGACTTTACACAATATGATCTAAAAGGGCAACCTCACCGATGACTCAGCTCTCCGCCTATCCTCGATCTCGGGGTCTCTCTTTCGCTTTCCAGTCACCGAAAATTCGCCGGGCCGGGACGTCCGGTCGTCAGAGCGGCTCGAAACGAAAGAGAACGAGCAGGATCGCGATAGATGCGCGATCAATTCGCGAGCTCTCCCCTCCACGGGGTTACGCAACCGCGTCGCACGTTGCCGCGACCAATTAGCGAGCTAGCAGTCCTTCACGAGATGCCACGCCGCCTTGCGGCCCGAGAATTTTTCCGGGCGGACCTCCCTTGCTGGCCATCCCCGGTCGTCCGCGCCGATATCGTGGCCGGGCGCATCGCCCTCACGTCAACTCCTGCGGTTCGCCGGACGTTAAGGCTTGTTGGGTGTCCGGGATCCTTTCCTGCTCGTCATGTATCCCTCGCACCACCCTGGGACTCGGACACCGCTAAATCCTTTGGCGGAGGTGATCGTTGCTTCCTTCCACTGGCTGGAAGCGCCC